AGCTAGATTAAAAAATTCAACAAAATACATATAAATCACATAATCAGATAATCACATGTTTGAGACTGAGTGTCCTTCATTCTGTAATATGAAACAAGAAAAAAACTCATTGAAAATCAAGTGTTTTGCTATTGAGAATACAGTACTGTGATACAGCTGAGACCAGCACAGGAAAAGAGGAAAAAATGATCGCCACTGCAAATGAAAAGGCCTTTACTGGGAAGATCTTAAGCTTATTCCCTTCTTCCCTATACCTGATAAGAATACAGTATACAAAGAAAAAAAAAATCCTACACCTCCTTCCTCCAATTTCTAAGACCTAAATTATACTAAAAGTCTTGAAAAATGTGAAAATGGGGGAATACAGAAGTTTAACAGTAAATTAAATTCCTATATTAATGCACTGCAGTGCAAATTTTATTGTAATAAATGTATTTTGCATTCAGGGTTGCATGACTCCCCTAACAAAGCTGAACTTGAAATGTAAGAATGTATCTTTCTTGATGAAAGTGTACATAATTCATACACATTACAAGTTTTACATCACTGAAGGCAGAGATTACTTTGTGAATAAAAATATGCATTTAAATTGACCTACCTTCAACACTAACTAAAGAAAATTTAATATTGTAACAAAGTTTTACTTTTAAAGTTCTATTATCCTGCCAGGCATAGTGGTTCATGCTTGTAATTCCAGCACTCTGGAGACTGAGGCAGGAGGACTGACATGGACTCCAAGAACAGCCTGGTCTACGTAATGAGTTCAAGACCAGCCTGAACTACCAGAAAAAAAAAAAAGGAAAAAAAAAAAGAAATTCTGTATCTTTATGCTATAAAAATGGGAAGTTTACATCTTACCCTCAATATTTTAAAGCAAATACTTTTTGCCTAGCATGATTAACTTTGTTTTGTTCAATAGTTTGAATGAGCAGAGCATTATACTGTGGTGAAAAAGCAAAACCACAACTATATTATACTGAGCTCCTAAAGGAATTTTCCTATTTTTAAAAGCATTCATTGTTTGCGCTAATTAAACTTCTAACATTTCCAAAACTGAGCAAATTCAGGTACCATTACTGCTTACCCCACAAATGAAAACATCAGTAATTGCTCTACATAAGTAATCTGAAATTATAATTTTTAAGAGCAATAGCTCCTACTTAAAAATTTGCAATGATGAGCCAGATGTGGTGGAACACACCTGTAATCCCAGCACTTGGGAGGCTGAAGGAGGATCCTTAGGAGTTCCAAGCCAGCCTAGGCTACACAGTAGTCCAAGGCCAGTTTGAACTACATAGTGAGAGCCTGTCTCAAAAAAACCAAAAAACAGTGCCAGGGGTTTGGCTCAGTGGTTCCGAAGTGTGCCTCGAAGGCTCAGGGTCCTGAATTCGATCCCCGGTACCAAAACAAATGAATAAAAACAACAACAAAAAAAACAATTAACAAAGAGGCAGGTACTATGCTAAATGAATTATTTCCATCCCTGGCCCTAAAAGTGAATTTTCTTATTAAAGAAGAACAAG